AACGCTGTAGAGCGCGTGTGCTCGCCAGAAAGACAGAGACAGAGACAGAGAGAGAGAGAGAAAGCGAGAAAGCACTCCCCAGGGGGGATGGCCATGCCACAATCCCTTCTCCATTCTCCTTTCGGGATCTTGGGCACGTACACACACATGCCCAGCATGAGTTTAAGCCACTGGGTCCGGGACTCGAACTGCAGTCGACTACATGGGAGTCCAGCAACATAGCCATTATGCCAACTGCTGGTCCCCATTTATTACTTTTCTAACTGGAACACCCCGGGTCCACCAGCAGGCGAGTGCGAACCCAGGCTGGCTACCACCGATGGCCAAGTTCTTCACCCTCCCATACCCTTGGTAGTTGCCCTCGCCCAGGTACCTCCAGGGTGCAGATGAAGGTATGTGATATTGAGATAGTGGTGATGACCATGCTGACCCTGGGTGGTCCTAAGCCAATAAGTTGGTTTGTGTCTTTTTAAAAAAACAATTATTAAACTTCATTTATTATTATTATTGTTTAAATTAAAAACAATCAAATCGAGACTGGAGAGAGACAGAGAGAGAGAGAGGGAAAGTGAGCCTCCAGGTCTGGGACTTGAACCACTTTAGGCCATGTGGGAGTGCAGTGGCTTTAAGCACCACACCACCCACCAGCCTCCCATGTGTCTTTGTTTTTAACAGAACAAGTTTAGAAAGTAAAAGTGGGGCCAGCAAGTGGCATGGTGGTTAAAGTGCTAGATCCCCGATAGCTGACTCTGGTTCGACTTCTGGACTCCACAGCTTGAAAAGCCTACTCGGTGTTTTGCACGTGTGCCCAAAATCCCAAGAGAAGAATGGAAGAGAAGGGATTGTGAGTGCCCATCCCCTCTGGGGGATGCTTTCTCACATCCCCTCTCTCTTTCTGTCTCTCTCCAGTGAGTTTATGTGCCCTATAGTAAAAAACTTAGAAAAAAAAAAGCAAGAAACAAATAAATTTAAAAATAGAAAAAAACATAAAATGAAGAAATAAAGAAAGAAAACATGTTTGTACAGCTGGATAATGTGTGTTCTTTTAAAAGAATTATTTTATTTAGCTTTGCTTATTTATTTATCTATTTATTTATTTATTTTAATTTGACAAGAGAGGGAGAGAAAGTGAGAAAGCAAGCCACCAGGTCCGAGACTCAAACCGTGGTTGGCCATGTGGGAGTCCAGAGCTCTTAACCACCACATCACCTGCTGGCCCCCATGTGTTTATGTTCTAAGCTAAGTGTTATTGCAGAGTCAAAAAGGTACAAAAATTAAAAAGCATGTAAAGTAAAAACATTATAGTAAGCTGAGGTTAATTTATTATTGAAGAAAGAAAACTTAAAAAAGAAAATACTGTTATCACGTCCCAAGTCGTGCACAGGAATGTCCTCAGCATTCCCTCGCTGACCCACCCCGAGCAGCATCCAGGCCTCAGGTACGCTTCACGGTAAATGCCCTGCACAGGTGTACTGCTGAAAGGCACCCTAAGGGATCTCCTGTATGTAGACGTACTCCTCCTTAACTCCACTGTGGAGTGGTCCAATTTCCCCTTGGTAGTCTGGAGCCACCCCTCAGCCAACACTGTAATTCCCTTTGTTGCCTGTTAATTCAGAGGCATGAGGAGCCCAGTGCGGCCAAGCGGCAGCCTTAGCATCCAGTTCAATGGAACATTGTGTCTCCCAGTGGAAACATTCCTCTCTCTGGAACTAAGCTTTCTAGGCCAACATAACACCAGTCCGTGGGAACAGGAAGCAGAAATTTGCTAGTGAGTCACCAGGAGGGTGTGATGCCACCTTCATTTCCACCCCTTGATTCCTACACCCACAAATCATGGCTATGGAAAAGAGTACCGTGTGTGTTGGATGCTGACTCAGAGCATCTACGGGCTTCTGGAGAAACTTGCCCCAGCCCTGAAAGGCAGAGTAGTGCACCTAGCCGGAGCTGCAACTGAGTCTTCGTGGTCAGGCTTCCCTGTTCCATTGGGCCATTGCTTCAGGAGGTGGAGAACGTGGTAAGGCCAGAGTCCATACAAGTGGGTATATTAGGACGGTACTTCCTTGATCAGAAGCAGTGTTATGTCGGGTCCCAGTGGATAAGGCACTCTGTAAGTCCTCGGGTGGAGGTTTTGGTAGAGATTTGCATGTAGCGAAGGAGAGTCTGGTCCAGAGTCAGGGTCTATCCCAATAAGAACAAAATGCTGCCCTTTCCATGATGGGATTGGCCCAATGCCACCACCCTGCCCCTGGCCAGCAGGCAGATTACCCTGGAGAACGGTGCCCTGCCAGGGACTCAGTGTTGGTCTCTACTGTTGGCAGATTGGGTGTCCTGGCCTGCGGGACGTATCGGGCAGAGAACTCGAGCAAGGGGGCGGAGGTCTGGAACCGGCGCAGCGTCTCAGCACGGGAGCGAAAGAAGTATCACAGCTCACACAGTGTCACAGCTCTTGATGGTATGAAGGTTTCGCTCGTTTATTGAGGGCTAGAGCGCTTTCTTATATACACAAGGCAGAGGGAGGTAGGCGGGGTTTACAGCGGACCTAATTGAGGACCTGTCAGTTCTGTCTGAACCAGGAGGTCTGCGTTCCTGGTGTCTGTGTCAAGGTCGCACCGGCCATTTTAAGCAGTGAAGGTCATGGCAGCCATTTTGATGTGGGCGGCTCCCCACAATTGGGCACTTAGTGTGGGTGTAGCCCCACGGGCTTTGGTGAGTGGAAGAAGTTGGTGTCGCTGGCTCCATGCATGACCTCCCTACCACCATGGCCACTTCGTTCACGAGCCCATTGGGTGGCTAGAGAAAGAGGCTGACTAATACCCAGAACAAGTCATCCTATCCACTTGGTTATGAACGTCCTTCTCTGCTGAGGTCACGCTTTGCGAGGCATTGATGTGGGGACAAATATCTTCATGTTTTTACCCGTTCAGAGAGGTCTAGTCACATATCTCTTTCCCAGATTCCCTTAAACCAATTTTCAATTGTTCTTCCCAAGTCCCTGGAACATCAAACAAACCCCTGACCGTAGCCCATGAAACTGAACACTACCTATTTCATCTTCAAAACAAAGTGAACAGAAGGTTCTTGCTGGGAGTTCTGCCCCAGGAGGGTTTCCCTTCCCTACCGTCTTTCAGGACGGTCCCAGGAAGGGACCGTGCATGGTGGTGCCTGCAAAGAGCACAGAACCATCTGCGGACCAGGCTGGCTGCAGTGAACGCCCACAAGGGAGGCCACACACGTAGGCTGGGAGAGAGAGGGCAGTGCCACAGGAGTGGGGACGCTGGGCATCGGGGCCACTTCTTCATGCAAGTTGCCAGTGCCCTCAGAGCCTGCCTGCACCTGATCACTCATACTCCACTCTGTTTAAAGACAGAGTGTCGCAGTGTGTGTCAGCTCTGTGACAAGGTGGGTCCAGTGATAACTAGGATGCGATAGGTCTCAGGCTGCATTTCGTCTTGGTGGCCCATGGTTAAGCCTTCAGTCTCTACTATGGTCCAGTAACAGGCCGGCGTCTGTTTCTCAAAAGGGGAGTGATCATCTCCAGAGAGTAGCAGGGCTTTGCTTAAAGATCACGATGGGATTCATCTAGACGGGCCTGCCGAAGACTCCAGACAACCTCTCTATCTGCCACTGCTATTCCAAGTGCTGCCAGAGCAGCTGGATCATGTGACCCAAGAGGCAAAGCCGCTCGCTCGCGCAGCAGCCTGGCCCTGCGATAGAGCCTTCTCTTGCTCTGGGCGCCACTCGAGACGAGCTTCTCTTTGGTTGCCTGAAAAACAGGATGAGTATCACACCCAGGTGAGGGATGTGTTGCTCCAAAATCCAAAAAGACCCGCTAGGAGTTGTGCGCCACCTTTGGTTGTAGAAGGGTCCATGCAAAAAATGACTTCACCCTCGAAAGGCTGTCCCGATCCACTAACAGCGCTACCTAAACCCTGGAACTCTCACGGAGGGAGAAGGCTTCTGGACGTCTGCAGGTTTACCTTCTACTTTCTGATGCACAGCTGTCTTGGGCTAGGTCTGCAGTGGTTGCCGCGCCTTGCTCACTAGGTCCAGCCGGCATATCATCAGTGCAACGTACCGCTGCAGTATCTGGGGAAGGAAAGGCCATCGAGACTCCCGGGAACTAACTGACAGAGGACTGGAGAGTGGCTATGCTCCTGAGGCAGCAGTGAGGGTGCATTTACTGGCTTTGCTGAAAGAAAACTGCTTCTGGTGGGCCTTATTAACAGGCGTGTGGGGCCGGCAGGTGGTGTGGTGCTTACAGGAGCTGGACTCCCATGTAGCCGACTGTGGTTCGAGTCCTGGACCTGGCGACTTGCTTTCTCACTTTCTCTCTCTCTCAGTTCCACTCCGGTCAAATTAAAATAAATAAAGTTGAAAAAACCCCAACAGGTATGGAGAAAAGGGATTTGCCAGGTCAGTAGTTGCATACCGGGTGCTGGGGTACCTGTTAATGTGCTCTGACATAAAGCCCCACTGGTGTGGCAGCTGCGATTGGGATCAGCACCTGGCCGAGCTTCGGTGGTAGGGTCCTCTGTCGTTCTCAAAGGTCGTCTGTCTCTCGCACAGTCCAGACCGGCAGGTGGAGTGGGACCACTGTGGGATTACCACCTCCGAGCTGCGGCGTTACATGCAGAATCCTTCAGTGAGCCCTGGTTGATCAGATTCACCCAGGTCCAGCTCCATGTTCCTCCACCGTTATCTGACACCCTTAATGTCAATGTGCACGTGTGTTCTCCAGATTTCTGGCCGTATAGATAAACTCACTTAGTGTTGCACATCTTCTCATCACCTTCGTACCTCACCTGGAGGGACCTGCTGGGTCTTGAGTCTAGTTATGGGTCTGGAAGCACAGAGAGGTAGTGGTGGATCCTGAGGAGAATCAGCCATGGGTGATGTGGCAATTGCCTCTGTCCTTGGACGATGTGGGGTCAATCCCCTCAGATGGAGGCAGAGACGCCACTTCCCCTGGTAAAGAAGACTCATCAGGATTTAGGGACTCTATGCTTACCTCAGGAGCACACATGCTAAAATTGGAATGATACAGAGAAAATTACCCTGGCCCCTAGGGCAAAGATGACATGCAAACCATAGCAGAGTAACTAACTCTAGTCAGTGGTAATTCAATGTACATTTATTTATTTATTTAGGAGAGGTTTTTTTTTGGGGGGGGAGGGAGGAGAGGTTTTTGCTATAGGGTGCGTGCGCTCGCCAGAAAGACAGAAAGAGACAAAGAAACAGAAAGGGGGGTTGGCCACACATGGTCATGCCGCAATCCCTTCTCCTTCATTCTCCTCTCGGGATCTTGGCCACCGGGTCCGGGACGTGAACCACGGTCGACTACGTGGGAGTCCAGTGACATAGCCATTATGCTAACTGCTGGTCCCATTGGAGAGGTTTTTGCTATAGGGCATGTGTGCTTATCAGAAAGACAGAAAGTGAGAAATTAGCCCCCAGGGGGGTTGGCCACACTACAATCCCTTCTCTTCCATTCTCCTCTTGGGATCTTGGGCACACACATACATGCGCCCGGCGTGAGTTTAAGCCACTAGGTCCGGGATTCGAACCACGGTCGACTATGTGGGAGTTCAGTGACATAGCCATTATGCCAACTGCTGGTCCCTGTATATTTAAAAATAGCTGGTTGAAAGGACTTTGAATGTTCAGAACACAGAGTAGTGATAAGTGCTGGAGATGGCGGATATAATTTGATCATAACGAATTGAACTTATGCTTTGAAAAGCCACACTGTACCCCATAAATATGTGCAGCTATTATATGACAATTAAAATATTCAATAAAATAATTAGGAGCTCAGCGTCCCCAGCTTCACCAGGGTCTTCCCACACACCGCATCCCGATTTACGGGATCGCATTCTCCCCACTCGACGCTGTCACTTTGATAGCGGACACCGGCCTGGCTGAGCGCTCAGCTGGTGCTGCAACAGCTGGCCACAGGACGAGGCCCTTCAGGGGCACTTGGGGTCCTTGAGCCAGCTTTTCTTTCACTACTTTGTCCATGAGGAGCAACTGGCCAACCTCATATTTATAAGCTTTCCAAAAATGTTTGAGAGTATATAAACAGGGCCAGCCCTGTTGCCTAGTGGCTAAGGGAACCAAACCCCACAGCCAACTATGGTTTGAGTTATGGACCCAGTGGCTTGAAAAAACATTCTGGGAGCATGTGTGTGCTCCAAATCCCAAAAGGATGGAGAAATGGAGGAGCAGGGTCATGGTGTGACCACACTGCGTTGGGGTTACTTCCTCATCCTCCCTTTCTCTGTCTCTTTCTGGTGGACTTTCATGTCCTCTGGTAGATTTCATATATGTGTGTGTGTATATATATATATATTTTTTTTTTTTTTTTTTTGGAGGGGTTTTCGCTATAGGGTATGTGGGCTCACCAGAAAGATAAGAAG